TCATTTATTTTCACATCTTCATTGGGTGTCTTGAATATCAATGGCAAATGTCGCAGAGCTCTTTATAATTAATGGATCGATGCGCTGATTGATTTTTAACGCCTTGAGCGATGCGACCGARMGGTGTGTGGGAACTGTTATGCATATGGAATGGATTGATTTCTCTACCTTTGTTTGTGCTTGTRTGTGTTTGRTTGGGTGTGGTCAAGTCGTGCAAGGTCTAGGTCGAGCTGCATACCTTGAGTTCCATTGGATGCTGCACATTGAAGCCAGCTTTCTGAAATGCATCAGAGTTCAAAGTGTTTGCCGCGTTGAATGTGGCTTCGGAACCAGTTTAGGGTTCATTGAATGTGTCAATTATTCTCGAATCGGCTCAATTCGGCCATAATTTATGTTCATTAGGCCATGCCAAAGATATTCGTGTTAGGCATATAAAGAGGCGGCATTTCTCAAATGCCACAAAACAGATGTTTTCTATCCGATAAGGCGAGCGCGAAATATCTCAGTAGCAAATACAGACAAAATAAATCTACCTTTAACATTTAACGTGCATGTTCTTTAATTGCATTCGAGATTTATTTCGAAGTACGAGCAGCTGTGATAGACCAGTTCTCTTATTTTCTTGTCAAATTAGCACTTTTATACCCTAATTTACAGAGTTTCTCAATTAAATAAATATTTTTTCAAGATCATTTATAATTTTATTATATATAATTACGACACTTTATAAACAGGTTTTGAACCAATGTGCGGCACACCTACCAATTTTCAGAGATCTACATGCGCCCACCAAATACTATGTCAACGATCCTAAGTGTTTATCAGTTATAGCCATAAATATTGAACGCTTTGTCATCATAAATATTCAGCTATGCATTATATAAACTCAATGCTTATAATTTTATTTAGAATATTATTAAATTAGCCAGCGGTGTATCATCCATAACTCAGGGGAGTCTGTGACTTGATATACCCTTTCTCCAGCAGTTAGCATGTTTTTATAAAATATATGTACGCGAATAAGCATAAATCAGATCGTATGTATATCAATTAGCTACATATCTCTGAGAGATAGATACACAATTGAAAGTGTAAGATGAGAGATTCATTAATCAGTTCCATTCATGAAAATTCACTACTTCATCAATCGAGTGCCGAGGCTTCTTAAAATGTATAGACTGTTGAAATACAAATTGGAGGATCGATTACGATCTTTGATGCTATCGATCACAGATCTTTATTATTTATTCAAAGGAAATTTATCTGAGAGTATATTCGCAGTTCGTCATGTCTCGGTTGCACCGTTACGCGTTTCGTTTGTAGAGCTGCTAATAATGAGTTAGAACTGAATGCTTGAGGTTCCGCTATGACTCTGCGCGCTCAGAGAATTTTGGTTGAATTAAAATTAAGCGAAAGCTTCTTGAAACATTTGCCAGATGAGCTTATCACAGTTTCATATTAACTTTCGTATCACACGGATCGCGCAACGCAATCGCTGTTCAGATCACATTCAGATCAACGTCCGTACACATCTATATATACATATATATATATTTACTGTTATTTGGCGCGTTCAATAATGCATTCCAGTTATCAAAATCGACGCCAGTTTGTCAAGGTTTGTGCGTTGTTTCGACTTGGTTTTTAGATCACACTGCTCAACCAAATTCCTGCCACAGGCTCGGCTGCTGCAGCTGCTCCTGTTCCTGCTCCTCCTCTTTGCCAGCTGTGCCGCACGCCCTCCCACGCCCCATACCATCTACTACAACAATCAGCCGCCAGATGCGAAGGGAAACTACCAATTCGAATTCCAGACCTCCAATGGCATCACCACCAAGGGCGCGGGCAACGAGGCTGGCGCCGTGGGCGTGGTCCAGTACGTATCCAAGGAGGGCCTACCCATAACCTTCACCTATGTGGCCGACGAGAACGGCTACCAGCCGAGCGGAGATCACGCCATCAAGCACCTAGAGCGACAGCTGGAATACATACGCACGCATCCAACCGTAGACGAGGTGCTATCGAGGCGTTGGTAGTGAATC